CCCGCTGGCCGGCTTAAGCTTGGGACCCCCCGCCCCCCCTCCCCTTGCCCCTCTACCCCAGCCTGTCTTGGGACCCCTGCTGATCAGGCTCTCTTGGGACCCTATTGCTACTGTCACCTCTCGTGGGACCCCCGCGGTCTTCCTTGTAATTTCTGTCGCTCGTGTCTTAATATACTGATAGTAATTTTTATTGTAATGTAAATATTGCCTACAATATTAATTATTATGCAAGTATTACCAGTAATGTTAATTTGGTTTATGAATGAAACAAAGTTGCAAGGACTCCAACAGATATAATGTGTTTAATTATTTTACAACTATTATTATGAGAGAGAGAGAGAGACAGAGAGAAAGGGGGGCAGAGAGAGAGAGACAGAGAGAAAGGGAAGACAGAGAGAGAGAGAGAGAGAGAGGTACTGTCTCCTGCTGGAAGAAGTGGACCCCATAGCCTTGGAGAAAAGCACACACAAGAATAGGATTTTTGTGTGCTTTTCCACACAGGATTTTTAGATCCCCTCCAATGCAGTGTTCTGTTGTCCTGCCAGCTCGCTTCTTTTTATGTTTTGTTTTGCTTTATTTAAAAATTAAAGGTTACAAGTTACACAGTGGTGAATACAATGTAAGGTTAAAGGTTGTGGATCTTTTGGAGCTCCTCACCTTCCAATCAGGAACCGAGGACACAGCAGGCATTCCCCCTTTGAACTGCCACACTGAGACACTGAAAAGGAAACAGACAGTTCTCTGGTAGCGTCAATAAACTTCAATCTCAATTCTAGGAGAAAGTTCAAGGCAACCGGACCCCAGGAGCCAAGTGTCTCAGATGCTATGGGAGGGAGGGAATACAGTGCCTTGTGTTTGTTAGATTTTACTGTTTCCGTGTGATTGGCCACGCCACATGCCTCTTCAATGTGAATGACAATTTAAATGTTTGTAAACACTCCAATTGAGTGTTTTCGGTAATTACTTCCAGTTTCGGCAAAAGATTTTGAGTGCCAGGAATATTGCAGTGAAGCAAAGGAGGTACACCAAGGCACGTATGCAAGGGCATGAGGAGCTAGAGCTCACGTCACTGTTAGGTAAGGATTGTTAGGTAAGCACTCCCCCCCCCCCCTGCCATCAATATCAACTAATTAGCGACATGGCAACCGCAACCGACTGGCGTATGTACGGCGCTAATTCCATTACAGCCTTCACAAACTGGCCGCCCCGTGAAATCAGGGAATGAAACACGAGCTCACGATCAATTAGACTGTCCGTGTTGGCCACTCGCAGCCAGAAGAAACTATAACTTTGCAACCCGGTTTTAGTATGGCGAAAACTCCGAGAACATGAATAATCAGGTTTTTTATTTATTTTTTTTTTACCCCGAAGATAAGCGGTGATTATTATAGACGGTAATTTGGTGATTGGAAATTGGTCGAGGACCGGGCCGCGGGGACGCTAAGCCCCGAAATCATCTCATCTCAAGGGGAATAAAGTATCGTACTGCGTGCCCCAGAAAAGAAAAAAAAACAACAGTTAAACGAAGTGTAACCTGAGGGTCAGGGGCCAGATTCACGAAAGCACTTACGCAAGCACTTACGAACCTGTACATCTTTTATCAATCTTTGGCGGCTTTGTTTACAATTATTAAACAGTTAATGAGCTCCGAAGCACCAGGAGGCTGTTTATAACAATAACAACAGTTGATTGGCAAGTTTTCATGCTTGTAAACTGTATAATAAATGTAACCAAAGCCGTCAAAGACTGAGGAAAGATGTACACGTTTGTAAGTGTTTGCGTAAGTGCTTTCGTGAATCTGGCCCCAGTTCTGTTGAACGATTGAAGTGTTGATTGATTGATTAAGATTAAGCCAACCAGGAGGTGGCACGGGCATGAATAGCCCGTAAATTGGGGCTCGATTGAAGGGTTGATGTTGTTGTTGTTATAGATTCAGCTACTCGGAACAAGTTCCAAGTAGCACGGGCTATGGTGAGCCCGTAACTTACCTTGATTGTTTTGCGTCATTATTTACCCAGGGATATGGTGTTGCGTCCGCTAACCCGTCCTGGGAATAGTAATTTATTGACAGTGTCGCCCGTATATAAACGCCCATTAAAAAAAATTAAAAATTAAAAAATGCAAATAAAAAAAAATTATTCTCTCCATTTGTCCTTCATCAACTTGTATTTATTTATGTTTCGTATTTATCCCTTGCTGCTTTTCTCTTCTTCTTCTCTCTTCTGTCTCTCATTATCTCCGTCTCCTCTTCCTTCATCTCCTCCTTTTTTAATGTTCTCGGATATCTCCCCCTCTACCACCTCCGATGCATCTTGACCAGACCACACACTAGAAGGTGAAGGGACGACGACGACGTTTCGGTCCGTCCTGGACCATTCTCAAGTCGAGAATGGTCCAGGACGGACCGAAACGTCGTCGTCCCTTCACCTTCTAGTGTGTGGTCTGGTCAACATACTTCAGCCACGTTATTGTGACTCATCGCCCGCTGCATCTTATTCATTGCTCTGTTAACTTCAGTACACCATATTACAGTGTAATGTTTATGAGCTTTAAATTAGAGGTTGTGACTCTCCTGGAGGTCTTTGGAGGCTTGGGAGGCTCCAAAGTTGGCGTTCTCGCTTGGAAACCTTCTTGCACTACCTCCACAGATCTCCAGTATCAGCTCAAAATGGCTCTTGGCTCAGCTTTAGAGGCATTACCAATGCTGGTAATGGCTCAAAAGAGCCACCACTTACGGGCTATTCATGCCCGTGCCCCCTTTTGGGTGGCTTAATCTTCATCAGTCAATCAATTCTTGCACTGGTCCAGCATGGAGCCTTTCCTCCTACAAAGAACGTCGCATTTCGATCGCATAAGTCTTACATAAGGGTAAAAATTGTCGTACTAGAAAATGGAAGTAGTTCGCGAAAGTGACGTGCTTTCCCGTTTTCTGTTTTGGGTCCTCTGGTAGGTTAGTATAAGTGGGGGGGGGGACTTTAGTACGACAGTTTATTGACGTTGG